TATATATAGATTAGAATGGAGTGGTATGTATGTAAATCATCATAAACGACAACAAAAATAAGGAATGTGGCTAGCTCAACTTTTAGTATTTGTTTTTATTTTCTTTCATGCATTGCATTGGTTTTCTCCAAAAGTATATTCATATTAAATAAAAATGCTATTATTTATTAAATTTGAGCGAATTTAATTTTTTTAACTTATAAAATTTAGAAAAATATTAATTTTAAATCTAATTTTATTTAAAATTAATTTAAAATTTTAGTTATAATTTATATCGGGTTTTATATGAATATAAAGTTTAAATTGAATATCTTAATGAGATTGTTCATGAGCTTTATATGGAATTGTTTTGTTTTTTTCAAATTAATATTTTAATTTTTTTTTTGTTGATAACATAAAAAAGTGGATTAGTTTTGAATTAAATATTAATCATATTTTATTTAAATTTAAGTATAATATTATTTATAATTTAACTATATTCTTAACTCACATTAGTGTTGTACAATATTAATAAATTAATCAATTTTATAGTTCTTATAAATTTAAAAAATATTTATGACATATGAATTTAAATAAATTCATAAGTCTAAAGTATATTGGGTTTAAAAAATATTATAAAACTTTTATTTTATATTATCTAATAAAAAGATTTTAACATTGTTAATAAAATAATCATATAATTATTAGAAACCAACTTTGTATTCTTGGTTGGATCTCGGCTTTCCCTAGGGGGACTTGAGAACAAGAATAAGGATTGGAAGATGAGATTTCTGGCCAGTTCAACTTAATGAGAATGGGGGACTCACATTCTCCCAACGCACCCCAATGTGAAGAAAAGAAAAACTATGTCATGTCATGTAACCTTAGAGTCTATAAAGAGATGATAGATGGGTGGCGATCATCCACTCATAAGTACTTTAAGAATTAGGTGTTGAATAGGATGATGTCACCAAAGAAGTTTGGTTGTATGATGCTCGTGAGACTGAGAGGGAGGAGGAGGCTATCATTAGAGCCATGGAAAATCAACCTAGGGAAAGCGTAGCACACCCCAAAGCTTGTAACACTTCTGTTGCTCCCTTGAAAAAACCCAGAATTTTTTAGTCTAAAATCATTCCTGTCAAGAAATATACTGAAGGTACGAAATATATTCATTTTTAACATCTGAAAGAACTCTCATTATCCAAGACGTTACCACTGAAGAGTAAACTCCTATGGAGCAAAAACTAAAACCTTCTCTAACAAGTTTTAGAATTTTGTTGTCCCTCGCAGAGAGGGGAAAACCTCCATGAAAGACAGAGGAATTGCCCTATACTCCTCAGTAAATGAAGCAAAAGAAGCCCCCACCTGAGTGGGTCCCTTGTCAAGATGAGAAGATCAATATTTGGACAAGCTCCGTTGGCTGATTCACCATGGTCGACACAAAAACAGACTAATAATCATTTGAGAAAACACCTATGTGCAAAGGAAGCTAAGGCTAGGAAGATCATAACAAAGAAGGTCATTGTCACTTGTGATCAAAGAAAAGTCACAATACTTCTTAAATGTGATGCATTTATTATCAACAATAAAATAACTTCTTCAAAATTTAAAAAAATATAAATATGATTTTATTTTCTATTTCAACTCTGAAATTACTTTGTAAAAAATAGGATATACATATTTCATACATGAATGATCTATACTCTAGAGCTCGTGGATACTTTTATCATAAAATGAACATTATTAAAATAGAGCATCATTATAAAATTAATATTTTCGTAGCTAGTTTAGATTTACATTGCAATAGATGAATAACATATTTAAATAAGAAATTGCAGAATTATTAATTAATTGTTCTACATCATATCCTTAAGATAGGCACCGGCCATTTAAAATTGATGATATTTATCAACTTATAAATTAATTTTAAACTTTATGATTTATGTCACATATTGGCTAAACAAATAAAAATCAACTATATATCATAATATGGATCATTTGATTAGAGTGATTTTGTCACTACCAGTTTCCACATCAACGAGCTGGACATGGCATGCCGGTCATGAAGGTAGTTAAGATAACGTTAGAGTGATTTTGTCACTACCAGTTTCCACATCAACAAGCTGGACATGGCATGCCGGTCATGAAGGTAGTTATGATAACGTTACAAAATAAAATAAAACAATATTTACTTGTAAGTTTATTGATAGCATGTATAATATGTTTCAATGTAAGATATGCATTTGGAAATATTAGATTAAAAGAGATATATATATTTTTTTTAATTTTAGAATTTATTCAACGTTATTATTTATTTCATCTTATTCACTTTTTATTTAACTTTAAAAAATAAAAACTAAATTTATAATTTAATTTAATCGATTTTTTATTTCGCCTCCTGCTCTTTTTAAATTTTAATATCAAACATAATGGAAAAAGTATTACATAAAGACTACAGTGCATCCGGAGTATAATGGTGGGGCGCCACAGTTAAGTAGGCCCCACAAATTTTAACACTGGCCAATTCCAACGATAAGCCTACTTTACATGTGGCGCCCCACCATTGAAGTCTTGATGCAACCATTGGACCCTTGATGAAAATTAGGTCTAGAATTCTGATGTAATATTTTCTCCAAACATAATCTCACAACCAAATGGATGACGCTAGGGCTTCGTTTGAGCTTTTCAAATTAGCTTCCTTGCAAGACGCAATAATTTCTCCTTTTTAGAGAGTTTATTTGGTGCGGTGGCATTTTGAAGACGCACTTGGTCTGTTTGGGAGATCTGCGTTTTAGTATCTTATGCGTTTTCAAAATACAGAAAATAACGTTTTCACACTGCACTTATTTATGTGTGATGACAGCTTTCCGGCTGCAGTTTGACTTTCACAAAAAATAAAAATTTGTAATAGCCACGGCAACTAGCTTATCAGCAGATACTTTTCAATCAACTTATCAGCAGATTATACAATAAGCTATAGCTACCCAAAACAGACCCTATCAAATTAGCTTCCTTGCAACTAAAGATCCATTACTTGCATTGGATTCCAATTTTTGTTCTTTTTAAACAAAACAGTTTAATTCTCTTGAAAAATTATGAGGAATATAAAACCGTCACAGAGAGAAGAGAAAAGAGTAGCTAAGAGCAAGACTGCGATTTCATGAAGCAGAAGAAGAGAGTAGCAACAATGAAAAATCTCCGGCGAGAGAATCGCTGTTCGCCGGCCGCCGGCCGATCCAATCCCTAATAACATTACATACACAAATAATTTTCTTAACAGACAAATTCCCATTCCACCTGACATCAGCCATGAATACAATCGAGACCTAATTCTCTCTCGAGATCCACGATCACTTCACAGCCGCCGCCGATGCAGCCCCAATCGTCCTCCATCCCACAATCTAACGATGTTTCCATTAATCACCCTCCAATCCTGAAAACTATACCCCCGATGATCCCCCCTCCATTCCCAATCCAATATATCCGAAAACCCCTCACCATTCCCAGTCCAATAACTTCTCCGCTCATACTTTTCGCCCTCATCGCCGCCATCAATCTCCTCCGCTAGAAAATACGCCGTGAAATTCCCCTTCGTCAAAGATCCACTCTCCTCGTGTACGCCCCAATCCGTTACAGCAATAAGTGGTTCGATCGGGGCAGATCTCTGCATCGGCGGCGGAATCGCCGGAGAAACTACGGAGGAAGGCGATTTAGGGTCACGAGAAGGAGAAGGTACTGATTGGGATGCTGAGCCAAGTGAACGGAAGCGCCACAAACCGATCCCAGCAGCAAAGAGAGCTAGACATGTCCAGATGTAGCCGGCTAAGATGGAGGAGTATCGTAGCACAAGAGCTTCGAGCGGGGATTCGAGGTAAAGCTCCATTTCAGAAGACAGGGAAGACGGAAGGGGACAGAGCAGGGTGCATTTTAATGGGAGGGATGAGAGATCGAGACCGTCCGATTCGGAAAAGATATGCGAATCGGGAGCCGCATATGATCTTCGCCAGTTGATCTCTGGCTTTGGATATTAGAGAAGTGTGCGGAAGTGTAAATTTTAAGTGTTTTATGTTCGCACTCTCAATGATATACATGGATATTAGAGAAGTGTGCGGAAGTGTAAATTTTACTATCAAAGAGTGTTTTATGTTCGCACTCTCAATGATATGCCGTCATGTATATTATATCTGATTTACTTAAAAAATTATTGAAGTGGGACCAATGACTCCACAATAACTCCGAAATAATCCAAAAATAATCTCCGTAATTCCATTTCAATAACCTCAAAATAACAGTGTGGAAGTTATTTCATAATTATTTTTGAGTTAATTAAGAGAAACTCATACATTACACTTCAATAACTTTGAAATAACATCTGCAGTGTTATTTCTGGGTTATTAAAATGAAATTGTCGATATTATTTTGGGGTTATTTCAGAGTTTTTGAAGTGAAATATATGAGTCTCTCTTTAATAATCACGAAATAACCCTGAAATAATCTCTGCGGTAGCACACTTGGCGGCATATTATTGGAGTCCGCACGTAGAGCTATGTCCGGAGTCCGAACAAAAAATTTTTCCGTGCAGAGGGCTGTCATGTTGATTTGTTATTATTCGTTGAACCTCAACTTGATAAGGGCTTACGTTCTAATCAACTCGTTTGTAACGATTTGTCAGTTTTTGTTTCACTCATTTTGACTCGAAATAATTAAAAAGACATTTACTTTCATAGCACCCGTATTACATATCTCACACCTAAATTACAATATTTACATTTCAAGCACCCAACATCATGTCGCTTGAAAACGACGGCGGGATCGCGGCCTACGAAGACCTCTAAAACTCTCTGTCAGTTTTTGTTTCACTCATTTTGACTCGAAATAATTAAAGAGACATTTACATTCATAGCACCCGTATTACATATCTCACACCTAAACTACAATATTTACATTTCAAGCACCCCACATCATGTCGCTCGACGGCGGGATCGCGGCCTACAAAGACCTCGGAAACTCTCAGTGTTCCCCTCCTTCGATTTGGCGACAGGATCACGACGTACAAAAATCTCTGAAACTAACATCATCCTCTTCCTTCAGTTTGGCAAACTTGCATTTATCTCATACAAATTTTTAGATCTCGTATTTTTCATATTCTGTCTTAAATCCCATAGTTCCTTCATTCAATGGAAATCAATTTTCGTTGTACTTCTATTTTTTTTTCCTTAAGAGATTGGCCACATGCTAATAAACGAGTCTCCCGACTAATCTCATGTGCCTAAAAAATTTATTCTGTAAATAGGCAGGACTGAATCCGTAACCCCAAGTGTTTTACAAACTCTGATAACCAAAAAGTCACTCAGCTTTAATTGTACATTAAAAATAGCTTCTCTCCTCCCTACGCTGCCATGCATATATATATATATATATATATAACTGATGAGCAGTCAAAAGTAATTATAATCAATTAAAATTATTAATAGCTCAGCTTTAATTGTACATTAAAAATAGCTTCTCTCCTCCCTACGCTGCCATGCATATATATATATATATAACTGATGAGCAGTCAAAAGTAATTATAATCAATTAAAATTATTAATAGAATAAAAATATATTAAACTATATTTAAATGATATTTAAATATAAATAATAAGATTTAAATTTCACCCTAATCCTTAACATCCTACAGCTGCGTGACTAGAATTTCAAAATAATTTTTTTCTTCGCGAAACACAAACACATTTTTCTTTTTCGAAATATAAATGAGCCAAACTCAAACATTAATATTTTTTTTTTATTGAGAAGAACACGAGCTGATCTTGAACTCGCTCGTGTTGAGCTCATTTACTTACATGTGCGGACTATAATATTCAGATAAGATTGAGGTGATATTATTCAAATATTACTAATATCAGTTCAATATTATGTCCATATTCACCTCTAAAGGTAGTATTCGTGTGTGACTGCTGTGGCGTCGCGAAGAAGTGACGGTGGAAAAGCCAACGTGGGGTCAGCCACGTCAGGTTGTGTTGTCATCAGTGGATAGGTTAGCTCTACGTGGTACGAGGAATGAGGATCACACAAAATGGGATTTAACGAATATTTCTTGTAGAAACCCCATCTTGTTTGTATTCCAATCCTTTGCTATTCATTCAATGTCATTAATACAAGAGTGGGTTTTTGATAAATGAGGGATTTATGTACATATCATGAGAAATTGGGGTATTTATTTATGTAACATCTAACTTTTGTTATTTACATGACTATCATCACCTAAAATCTTCTTCATTTTTGAAAAAAAAATATATCACAATATGACTGTGCTTTTCGTCTCATGCGAGAAGAAGTGTAGGGATGGTGATAGAAGGCGATCTCGACGGTAAGATGTCATGGACGGAGGAAGAACTAAATGAAAAGTTGTTGCATACCGTTTTTTGTTGAGATGCATCATCTTCGTTACGGAGGAAGATATTTCTCTGATAGGAAGTTTTCTTTTTACGATTCTTAGCGGCTTTGGAGTTGAGTTTTGCATCACTCCTTATCATATGCCCTTCTTCATAATGGAGAAACATTCATGTGAAAGAAAAGACTCTCTCCTCTAAATTTCTCAATAGTTTTTCCTTTAGAGAAGAGGGAAAAAAAGGGTTGAAAATTAAGTTTGATTTTAGCACATATGAAATTGGGATTTAATTGAGCCCATAATCTTAGTCTTTGGAAAATTCTACACTTATTTAATGAAGAAAATTTTTGATGAATCTAGAGACATATTTTAAAAGTGTTATTTAAAAAATTCTGGAATATGTAATTAATGAATTATGTAAAAAAATATTATAGAGAGTTAATAGTAATCATTAGAAGAATATGTGTCGGTACAGTCCTAATGGGGGTATCACTAGTATAATAGGTGTGATGTGTTTAAGTTTTGTACCAAGAAGAAAAATATTAAATTAAAAGTGAGTCGTTCAATTTGTTTTCCTTTTTTCTTAACATTCATCTTCCTATCAAAGTCTTCTATTTTTAAGAAATTGGTATCAGAGTCATAAAATCCTTCTTAGAGAGATGACGAACAACGGTATGATCGTCATTCAATTCCTAGAGCCCAACAATAGTAACTATGATAATTGGAGTATCCAGATGAAAGCTCTTCTTGGAGTGCAAGTTGTATGGAAGATGTAGAGAAAGGCTACAATGAGCTAGAAAATTAGTCAAGCTATCTCAAAGTCAAAAGGATAGTCTAAGAGATTGGAGAAAGAAAGACAAGAAGTCTCTTTATCTAATCTATCAAGAATTAGATGATGGCACTTTTGAGATGATTTCTGATGCAAAGTCTACTAAAGAGGCATGAGAGAAGCTTCAAATCTCTTATAAAAGAGCTAAGCAATTCAAGAACGTGCATCTCCAAACTAAAAGTGTTGAGTTCAAAATCTTGCAAATGAAAGAAGATGAAGTCGTCTCCGACTACTTTACTAATGTCTTAGTAGTTTCTAAAGAACTAAATAGAAGCGGAAAGAAACTAGAATATGCTAGGATTATGGAGAAGATTCTTCGTTTTTCAGATCCAAAGTTCAATAGTATTGTCTCTATCATTGAAGAAACCAAAAACTTGGAGACTATGACAACTGAGCATCTCTTTGGTTCCTTATAGACCTATGAAGAAAAGAAGGAGAAGAAGCAAGGGATCATGGAACAACTCTTTAAGATGCAACTTAATTCAACTAAAGAAGAGAACCTCAAGTACGATAGAAGTCAAAAAGGAAGAGAACGTGGTTGAGAACATGGTCATGGTCGTGAACATGAACGAATTTAGAGTTCCAAAAATGACAGCAACAATAAAATAAATTTTGGGTGAGGAGGATTAGCAACTAGAGGGAGTGGAAGAGAAAAATCAAGAACTAAGTACGACAAGTCTAAAGTGATTTTTTACATTGCAAAAATTTTAGTCACCATGTTGCATATTGTAGAACTCTAATTAATATTAAAGTTAAAGAGAAGAGTAATTACGTAGAAGAGAGAAATTAACAAGTTGACATTTTGATATTCGCATATAAAGAAGACATGGTATCTAGACTCCAATACAACAAACCATATATGTGGAAAAAAAAAACAAGTTTGTGGAGCTTGACGAGTCGATAAGGGGCAATGAGTCCTTTGGAGATGAGTTCAAGAAGCGGTTAAAGGCAAAGATAATATTCTATCCGGTTGAAAAATGGAAAGCACCAATTTATTTTCAACGCTTATTATGTGTGAAATTGAAGAGTAATATCCAAAGGCCAGACCAACACTTAGAGAAAGGTTATGTTATTCATATAAAATACAAGAATTTTTCTATAAGAGACTATATAATAACCTATTTGTGAGGATACTAATGTCAAGAAATATAATGTTTTTGCTCAATATTCAAAATGACAATAAAAAGTGTCTCGAAGCCTGTTATAAACATTCATCATGAATCTGACCTTTTTGATTTGGACATCTTAATTTTGGAGGACTAGGGTCTTTATCAAAGAAGAAAATGGTGAGTGGCTTACCTTGCATCAATCACCCTGACCAGATATGTGAAGTTTGCTTGCTCGGGAAGCAATTTAAGAAAAGTATTTCAAAGGGATCAAATTCAACAGCACAAAGACTACTTGAGCTCATACATTCAGATGTGTGTGGTACAATCAAGCCAAGCTAGTCTCTGAGCTCATACATTCAGATGTGTGCGGTCCAATCAAGCTAAGCTCTCTTGGTAGGAGTAATTATTTTCTTCTCGACATATATAACTTTTCAGTAAGAAACTTAGGTATATTTTTGAAGCAAAAATCATGGGTCATTAGAGTATTCAATAATTTCAAATCCTTGATGGAGAAAAAAATAGGTCTCAAGATTAAAGCAATGAAATCCAATCAA